TCCTCGGGAGAGTCCAAGAGAGCCCCGAACAGTATCAGCTACTACACTGCTCTTGGTGGCTTCCCAGGATGCTGTTTTAGTCAGGGTTTCTATTGCTGTGATGAAACACCATAGCCAAAGCAAGTTGGGGAGGAAAGCATTTCTTTGGCTTACACTTCCACATTGCTGTTCATCACTGAAGGAAGTCAGGACAGGAGCTCAAACAGGGCAGGAACCTGGAGGCAGGAGCTGATGCAGAGGCCGTGGATGGGAGCTGCTTACCGGCTTGCTCCCCCTGGCTTGCTCAGCCTGCTTTCTTATAGAACCTATGACCGACCACCAGCCCAGAGATGGCACCCCTCACCATGGGCTGGGCCAACCACCGTTGATCACTAATTGAGAAAATGCCTTACAGCTGAATCTCATGGAGTCATTTCCTCAGCTGAGGCTCCTTCCTCTCTGATGACTCTGGCTTTTGTCAAGTTGACACACCAAGCCAGCCAGTCCAGATGTGAAGGTAAGACTCCTGCTGAAGACATCACACACTTTGGACAGAGGACTTGGCAACTGAGCTGGAACTGAGCTGGAACCTCCTCCCTGAGGACCGGCTCTCAGAGCTTCTGAAAGTGCTATGGAAGCTCAAGGGAAAAGAGGACCTGCCAGTCCTGCACAGCTACAAAACCCATAATCCCCAACTGCGACTGGGCTAGCAAGGTCTCTCCAAGGGTGCAATCATGGCACTATTATTTTGGGAGTAACAAACAGCTAGCTAATTGGATCTAAGAACTGCTTAGTAGAATTTGGCAAATTCTGTCATAAATTAAGACCTATATAAAATGAGAAATATATTTGGTTCATGACTGAGCTGACTCAATGTTATTAAGATATTAATTCACCTTAAACTGATTCTTAAAACTAACTTAATATAACCAAAATAAGTTTGATAAAGAAAAGCAAAGTTGAGAAAATTCATGTCTGGTATTGTCATCCTAGCCAACTACTCATAGCTAAAAGGGTCATAGACCCTAGAGGAGAACTACCATTGCCATTTTAACAAACCAATATAATTTCTAAATTATATTCTAAATACTATATTCTAAATACTTATCCTTATACCCACAGATAAATGTAGCTCTCATTCCTCATCAAAGATGTTTCTTTTTGCAGCAGATACAGGATACTACAGAAATCCACAACTTGTCAAAATGCACAAAATAAGTGACCATGGGTGCCCAGTCCCACATGGTAAATCTGCAGAGTAACCCCTTCACGTAAGGCTCCGGGAACTTCATGGAAAGATTGTTAGAGGCAATGGACCAGGACATCCACTGTTAGACATGACAGGGTGCTGCGCCTGTGACATCTCACCAGTATGGTTACATGAGGAAGACTTGCATGATGACAACACTGGTTGACATGCCAACTTGCATGGGGGACATTATGCAATGCTCCATCCTGACCTGGACAGAGAGACCATGACTGCTGAGAGTGGGCTGTCAGCCTTCTCCAGAAAAGACCGAAAAGAAATGGGGAAATCAGAGATTATGGAATTCTACCAGGAAAACTAACATTCGAATCCTAAAATTATAGAAAGGAAAGAAATACAGAGACACAAAGTTTATTTAAATAAATAATGAGTGATTTCCTAGCCTGGAGAAAGACAGGAATATTTAGGTGCCTGATGCTCAAAAGCATCCAACCAGACTCAATCAAAAGATTTCACTATGGCACATTATCTACAAATTGTCAAGTATGAAATATTAAAAGACTTTTTAAAAACTGTATGCTTGTGTGTGTGTACCCATGGAAGCCAAAGGAAGACATCAGAGCTGAATTTTCAGGCAGTTGTAGAGTTCCCGACATGGGGCTGAGAACCCAATTTGAGTTACCCTACAACAGTTGTACACTAGCACACCAGCAGGCACATCTTCTCCGGCATGTGACAATTGTCTCCTAACACTGCATGGCATTACAACAGATAGTCAGCAGAAGAAGAAACTTTAATCCCATTTGTGGTGGTTTGAAAGAAAATGGCCCCCAAAGGGAGTGGCACTATTAGGAGGTCTGGCTTTGTTGGAACAGGTGTGGTCTTGTTGGAGGAAGTGTGTCACTGTGGAGGCAGGCTTTGGGGTCTCAAACATGCTAAAGCCATGCCCAATGTCTCAGACCACTTCCTGTTGCCTGCAGGTCAAGATTGCAGGACTCTCAGCTCCTTCTCCAGCACCATGTCTGCCTGTATGTTACCATGTCTCACCATAATTATAATGGACTAAACCTCTGAAGATGCAAGCCACCCCAATGAAATGTTTTCTTAATTATAAGAGTTGCTGTGGTCATGGTGTCTTTTCACAGCAATAGAAACCCTAAGACACCATTCCAAGACAGGTTTCCCCATGTCCTGTAGCAAAAGTACATGATGTGTTCAATAATAGGGACTTACCATTTAGTCTTGGCATGCAACTAACAGCAATGGCAATGTTCTTTAATTCACTGGGAGGAAGCCCACTGGTAGTATTTTGTTTTGTTTCCCAACAAAGTTACGGCTCCTGGAAGTGTCCTTTCCCACTAACACAGATTGCCTCCGTTTAAATTCTTTAACTGCTATCTTACTATTCTTTCAGGTGATTTTACAAATTTCTAGTGAATTTTTTATCAAGGTGGAATGATACAAGATTAATATGCAAAATTAATTAAATTTCTATTCAAAATGGCCATTCTTGCTGTATCAGAGTTGATTGAGATATACAGACTTCAGGTCTGTCTAATTTTGGTGTGTGACTTTTTTTATTTGAAAGTTCTTTATAATAAAGTTTTGCTGTTGTTTGGGTTTTTCTGGTGTTTGTTTGTTTGTTTGTTTGTTTGTTTGTTTTTTGATTTTTCAAGACAGGGTTTTTCTGTGTAGTCTTGGCTGTCCTGGAACTCACTCTGTAGCCCAGGCTGGCCTCAAACTCACAGAGGTCCACCTGCCTCTGCCTCCTGAGTACTGGGATTAAAGGAGTGTACCACCACTGCCCAGCTTTATAATAAAGTTTAAATGAAATTTTTCTATAGGGGGCTGGAGAGATGGCTCAGCTATTGAGAGCACTGGTTGTTCTTCAAAAGGATCTAGGTTCAATTCCCAGCACTCACATGGTGGCTCACAAACATCAACTCCAGTTCCATGGGATCCATCGTCCTCTCCTCATCTCTGCTGGCATTGGGCATGCATATAATCCACAAACATACATGCTACAAAATACCCATACATATAAAATAAATAAATAAAGGTTTGTTAAAACTCTATAAACTAGGAGCAATAGTCAAGAGAAAAATTTTAAATCACTAAATATTTAGAGATAAACTAGTACACTGAGATCTCCAGAATATTTCTGCCATAAAATTAAGACCTGAGTAAACTAATAATATCTTTTGTTAATGGGTAGTCAGGTTCAATATTATTAATATATCAGTTCTCCTTAAACTGATTCTTAAAACTAATTTCTTATAGTCAAAATAAGTTTGATAAAGAAGAGCAAAGTTGAAAGGCTAATACTAGCTGATTTCATTAATTATTTTAGAACTACAGCAATTAAATTAAAATAGTATTGGCAAAAGAAGGTAACAGTATAGATTGGGAACATAACAGTGAGACCAGAAACACATCTATGTATATGGAGATGACTGATGAGCAAAGGTTAACGGCACACGGTGGAGAAAGCAGATTCTTTCCAGTAGACGAAGAATAACAATATCCATCTGCTTAGATTGAGTTTGTGACCATACCCTTCACAGTAAACAAAAAATAGAGGGGGGAGGGAGATAGGGAGGGAAAAAAGGAAGGAGGGAGGGAGGATACAGAGAACTGCATTACAGAACAAAATGGAAAACACAATACTGAAAAACTTCCGGAAAAAGCACATGAGAAAACCTAGCCAGGCACAGTAATCCCAACTACTTGGGAAGCTGAGGCACAAGGATCACAGCTCAAGGCCTAGGGTAAAGAGAGGCAGCTCAGTAGTTAAGTTCACACTGCTCCTCCAGGGCACTATGGTTCAGCTCCTAGTACCTATGTCCTCTCACAAGGGCCTGTAAACTTCAGCTCCAGGGTATCTGATGCCCTCTTCTGGCCTCCAAGGGCACCTTCACTGGTGTGCTCATACATGCACACAAACACATGTGCACACAGACATAAATAAATGATCAAAAATAAAGCTGGATGGTGGTGGTGCACACCTTTAATCCCAGCACTCAGGAGGCAGAGGCAGGTGTGTTTGAGGCTAGCCTGGTCTACAGAGTGAGTTCCAGGACAACCAGGGCTACACAGAGAAACCCTGTCTCAAAAAAAAAAAATCAAAACAAACAAAAAATCTAAACAATAAGTTCAAGGACTACTTGGGCTATGTAATAAGTTAAGGCCTGCAACTTAGTGAGACTTTATCTCAAAATTAAAAAGGAATAAGGGCAACATTTAGTGGTACAGTGTTTATCCAGCAAACACAAGGTCCTAGATTCATTCTCCAATAGTAGACAAAAAAGTATATACATAAACATACAGTTTTATGTATGCACACACACATATGAAGAAATCTCTGTGATCCTGACTTGGGCAAAGATTCCTAACTCTGACACCGAGAACACAACACATGTAAGGATAAATTAACAGGGCTGAGAGGATGGCTCAGTCAGTGAGTGCTTGCCATACAAGTGTAAAGGACTGAGTTTTAACCCCAGCACCCACATTTTTAAAAAGGCACAGCACCAGCTGCAACACTTGGGAGAGCAGGCCCTGCACCTTGTTTGGGCAGCACAGTAGAGCCAATCCTGTTGGCAGAGGTGTGGGTGAGCCAGCCCTGAAGTTGTGAGCGTGGAGAACTGTCCCCATTGCTCATCTGCCATGAGGTGGCATGGGCTGAGGAGAGATGCCCTCCCCCCACACACACCCATCAACGCCTGAGGCAGGTGAGACAGCTGGTCCTGAGGTTAGAAGGGTAGAAGAGCCTGTCCTGCCTGAGTGGCAGGCCCTGCACCTCACCTGGGCAGCAGAGGTGTGGGCGAGCTGGCCTGATACTGTGAGCATGGAAGAGCTGTCCCCATTACTCACCTGCCATGTGGTGGGCATGGGTGGAAGGGAAATGCCCCCATCGATGCCTGAGGCCGGTGGGAGAGCTGATCCTGCCCCTCATCTGCTGTGGCTCCCAGGAGACTGGCCCCTGCACCACACCTGGACAACACAGTAGAGCTAGCCCTGAAAGTGCAGGTGTGGGAGAACTGACCCTGAGGACATGAGAGCAGGAGAGTGGCCTCACCCCCTGCTCATCACTGCAAGGGGTGAACTTGCCAGGGCAATGCTCGAGAGCTCACCCTAGTGGTGAGGACAAGGGAGAGTGGGTGGGCTGACCAACCCCTGCAAGTACCCAGGCCCAGAACCAGGGTGAGGGGCTGGCCCACCCCAGTGTCCACCCCATCTGTGATCTGCTGGAGCAGGTGAAAAAACTGGTCCTGCAGACCCAGAGCTACAGGATCTCCACAACATAGGGCAACAACAGGATATCTAAGAGGAGTCCCAGTGAGGGCCCGGCATCAAAAGTATAGCAGAAACCAGAGGCCTCAAGCCAAACCAAGGGCTCTTTGCAATGAACACTTGCAAGTAAAGATACATGGACAAAGGGATTTACTGTGTGACTCACTGTGTCACACTACAGCTTCCATGACGAGATTTCTTTTCTCTTTTTTTTTCTCTTCTTTTTAATTTTTTCTCTTAAATTTTATCAGGGGCAGAGGGTGGATACACAGGGACAGGAAATGAATGGGATTGAGATGCATGGTGTGAATAAATAAAAAGAATAAATAAAAAGAAAGTTAAAAATTAAAAATAAGAAAAAATTTAGAAGCATATACACCATATAAACAAACTGAAAGAAAAAAACCACATGATCATCTCCTTAGATGCTGAAAAAGCCTTTGACAAAATCCAACGCCGCTTCATGGTAAAGGTCTTAGAAAGATCAGGAATACAAGGAACATTTCTAAAC